GCAGAGCAGGAGGAGACGCTGTGCGCGCAGCGCGGTGCCCGCGCCCAGCGGGTCTGTGGCACTGGCGCGGGGCGGGCGCGGGCAGAGCCCCGCACGGACACCGGGCCCCGGCCCCGCTCCCGTGGGACAGCGCCCGGGAGCCTCGGCAGAGCCGCTTCCTGCGGCCCCAAGCAGCGGAGTGACCCACAGAACGTTGTTCCACAGAATCTGTGGGTTGGGAGGACCTCTGAGACCATGGAGTCCAAGCTGTGACCCCACACTGCCTTGTCAAGCACACAGGGCACTGAGTGCCACATCCAGGCTTGCCTTAGACACCTCCAGGGACAGTGACCCCACCACCTCCCCAGGCAGCCCATTCCAATGCCCATCACCCTTCATGGGAAGAACTCCCTCCCGCTGTCCGAACTGAGCCCCCCCTGGTGCAGTGTAAGACTATTTCCTCTCAGCCTGTCGCTGGCTGCCTGGGAGAAGCAGCCCATCCCCGCCTGGCTGGAGCCTCCTTTCAGGCAATTGTAGAGGCCGGTCAGTTCCCCCTGAGCCTCCTTTTCTCCAGGCTGAACACCCCCAGCTCCCTCAGCACAAGCCTTGTGCTCCAGACCCTTCCTCAGTTCCATTGCCCTTCTCTGGACAGTTCCAGCCCCTCAATGTCTCTTGCAGTCAGGGGCCCAGAACTGGACACAGGGTTTGAGCTGTGGCCTCACCAGTGCTGGGAACAGGGGAATTGTGTGTTACACTGCATAACTTAGTGTGGTGTTATGATGGAGAAGTCTGTTACATGTAGCTTAAAATAAAAAGAGGATTGTACATTTAGCTTAAAAGCCATTGGGAAAATGCTTACACAAAGCGTTCATTAATCAGCAAAAAGGCAAATTGTTGTCTAGTGATCCCACCATGTTTGTTACTAAATAAATCATAATTTTGCTTGTTTTAGGTGTTAGGAAGCCATGTGTGTAACAGGTATGGAACATCAGGTTCTTTACCAGGGGAAAAAAAAGAGCACCTGCAGAATGGACCAGACTTAGAGGACTTTGTCTCTGGAGATCTGTCAGACAAGAGCACATGGGCTGACTATAAAGGCAATTTAAAGCGTGAGAAAGGAGAAAGGTAATAGTGATTTTAAACAGCTTTAGTTGCTTCCCAGCATGATCTTGAATGTTTAGTAGTAACTACAAAATTTATGCTATGCATCTCTATTAAATTCCACCCTACTGTGTTGCAAATTTAAGGATTATTCAAGAAAGGACAAGCGTCATTAATTTCAAATCCATAAAAAATGTGGAGACATAGTGGTATGTTCTTGAGTGCCAGTAATTCAATTACAAATATACATCAGTAGGGAAATCTGTTGAAAAAGTACTACTGATAGAGAAAACAAAAAATTAAGATTTATATTAAAAAAATGTTTAAACCCCCATATTTCCAGTTACAGAGTGACCAGACTTTGTGATAGCTGTGCAATACCTGTTGCCATTAATGTTGCAGTCTCCAGTGTGGTGGCACTGTTCAATCCCTCTGGAACAGTGAACAGTTTTAAACATGTTAGTGACAACAATTC